CCAGCAGGAGTAGCTTCCCACGTAACTGTAACACTGTTGCTCTATTACACAACAATATTTCCAGCTACCCAACAACCCTACTGTGCTGAAAATGAATACATTTTAGATTTCTCTTTAAAGCTGCATCGGACAGCAGGAATAGACTTTATAAACTTATAGTGAAGACCACCTATCATAAGATGAGTAAGTATCCCACTGCACTGGATTAAAACCCATGCATCCTATATGCTGCTTCCTAAGCAGCAAGCAACAGATGCTTTTAGGGAACAACATGAAAAATACAGTATAACTACAGATGCAGTATTTTCTCTATGTTCCCTTCTAGATGAAGACCAGTACAGCATGTAGGGCTTTTTGGTTTTTTGTTTGTTTGGTTGTTTTTTTTGTTTTGTTTTGTTTTTTGATGGTTTGAGCACTTATACAGTAATCTAACAAGATTTTGATTGTCTTCAATTTCTTTGATACAAAATTCAAAACCAGAACAACCAGCATCGCACCAGCCCGGCTTGTATCTGGAAACATCAGCTCTTATGCTCATGTAGTGTTTTTGAAACAAAGATTGCACACATGCAATGGTTTCCACTGCTGCAGATAACTAATTATCACAACAGAGGCTTTGCTAGAGCCCACATTTTGCCATGTTAATGGGTACGGTGGGCATTGCATATTTAATGTCTTTCTCTTCCCAGAATTAAAGGATGTAATGCACACTGCTAACTTTGTTTTCACACCAAACGAATGAAAACTCCCCTCTATGAACTCCACCACAAAACCCACTCCCCATCAGCACCAACATTCCTGAATCATCTGCTGCTCCCTGGCTACAAACACGTAAAATTTATTTATGAAGACGGACAGCAATAATAACCAGGCCTAGGGACATTCCTGGGGTAACATCCATGGCAGGATCAGAACAGAGTCACTAACCAGTTCCTGGGCTGTACTTCCTGCAGGGGAAACCATCCTATGCAATCATACATTTCAGCAAGACTATATTTGTTGCTTGAGGCTTTCATCCTGCATCAGGACGCCTGTGAAGTTGAGATGTTAAATCTCAACCACAGCAACAGCTGTGATTTGGACAAAACTCAGCAATTCCAGCACTCGGGAGGGCTGGACCCTTGGGGTGCTACAGGACTACACACACCTGCTATGAAATCTGACTGCACATAACGCATTCAGCAGTGGAATCTTTTCCATAATGAGAGAGAAAACAAGCGTTAAAAAAGTTCAGAAAGCTTCGACATGCCACAGTTTTCTCACAGAGAGAAAGGAAAGGAACAAGAAGCATCTCTCCTCATGCTAAACACATAATAGATCTGACTCCTTAATATTTATGGTACAGAACCCATTGACTTTCAAGGACCTTTTTAACAGCAGTGAAGAAATAAACACATTTTCCCTCCAACTATCATGCTGACAGATAAGTTATCTGCTTTACTTGCTCACCGGGCCTTCAAGATTACACCAGCACAAGGAACAACAATGCAGAGATGTGAGAATCCAAACCTCGGGAAATTTCTAATGTTCAGCCTGGCCAGGAGCTGCCCACATACACAGGTTGAGCTTTGTGTAGGGCCAGCCAAAGCTACAGTACTGGGTACTGCCTCTGTCTGCAAGCAGATCAAACAAGCAATTTGGTGCTCGTGAATCTCAAAATAATATGTCTGCAGTTAAGCAAACAATCAATGAAAGAGACTGTTAGCTGTCTAGGAAACATGCCACTTACACCCTGCATGGCATATTTCCTAGGGAAGCATCAGGGCAGGTCTACAGACTTCACTATGCCTCTATACCATATGTTTAAAGACAAAAATGAAACCTGGGACTGTTTTAAACAATGCAGGGCTGTTCTTTCTCCTACAAAGTCACTTCTATGGCTGTAAACTGAAGAGTTGCATCTACTCTACAAATTACCAGAGACAGCGAATTTGTAAATATGAACTGAAGCTCTTAAGAACAAACCCAAAGTCCAGCTAAAATAGCTGACAGCACAGATCCTTCCTACAACAAAACCACTTTGGCTGCTAATCCCTTTGCCCAAATATGCTTGAAACCTGTTGAAGAGCTGAATGTCCCTCTAATATACAGCAATCCTAACACTCGTGTTTAAAGGAGGACTTCAGCTGGTCTTCATCACTGAGACATCTCACCAACTGGCTACCTAAGAGCTGCCCGGTGCCAGATGCTGGAAGCACCCACTTGAACTGGGAGGAGGAAAGCACTCCTGCTCTCTTGACTACAGGGCAAACAGGTCAACCCAGGAAACCCCTTAAAACCAGCTTGGGTTTTCATCTGGAGAAGGCAGATGAGTTAGCAATAAAAGCAGCAGGTCGTAATGTTATTTCCATGGCTGGCAACGTAGGGACAGTCCAGGAGAAACACCACATACATATTCTGTTCTGCTCTGTTCTGCTGTGTGTAAGCGGGCAGCCATTCCCACCAGAGCAGCAGCAGCGTGCTGGACAACAGGATGTGTGGGAGAGTGGTTGGAGTGGAAGGCAGGGAGAGCACAGGATTGCCGCGTGGGAAGGGAGACTGCCTGCCCGCCGGCCTGCTGCTGCAGCACCAGCTGGCACCTCTCCCACACTCGCAGGCCGGTTGATGCCCGGAGCGCCGCAGCTATTCTCCTCACACCTGTTAGCTGCACCTCCATGGGCCGCAGCCCCCAGGCCCTCTCGTTCCCAGGCCCTGTACATCCCGCACAAGCCGTGCTGCTGAGCACTTCACTGCACACATCTGCAGAACACTTTATTTCCCGAAGCAGGAGATAATCGCTTCTGGGACGGAGAAGAACCTCCCACACGGCTCCGGCGGCCGCCGCTCGCCCCTTCCGGCCAGGCTGACGGGGACGGGACCGAGGCGGGCAGACCGCGGCCTCAGCCGGTCGCACGGCCACCCGCCCGCCAGGCGCTACTTCCTCGGCGGAAGGACACGCAGCAGCAACACGCCTCTCGCCTTCCGTGCCGGCACTCACCGCCCCAGCGCGAGAGCGTATCCTTCCGCCCGGGCCCGCGGCCGTTCTCTCCGCTCACCAGCAGCCTTGTCCGCCGCCATCTCTGCCGCCGTCGCCGTGCGATCCGAGCGCACCAAGCGGGACGAGGCCCTCTCCTGCTCCGCCGAGCGCTGCCCGCTCCTCCACCGAGCGCCGCGCCGCCTGCGGGACTACTTTTCCGCCAGTCTCCTCCGCGCCGCTTCGTCCCTATTCGCTCGCCGCTTCCGGGTTGCCGGCGCCCGCCGACGTGCGGCCGTTGCCGGGGACCGCGTCTGACGTCATGACGCCGCCGCGCTCCCCCCTCCCGGGGCTGCGCTCAGCCGGCGCCCGGGAGTGTCGGGCTGGTGGGGATCTCGCGCTGGAAGGGGATTTTCCCTTCAGAAGCCGGTATCGAAGCGCTCGTCTTTGCTAGGACCTCTGTAGGCTCAGCAGTCCTGACCGCAGCCTGGAAGAGGGCCTGAGGAGCCTGGCTGCCGAGGGCAGTTGGCGTCGGTTCTCTTCTGAGAATGTGAGTTCCCGTCAGTGGGCTCCCCGTGCGGCACCATCACACCGCAGTTCCATCACACTGCACTTCCTGTCAGATGCTGCCTTTAGGACTTTGCCGTCTGTTAACATAGCAGTACTTTTTTGTGTTGTGTATCCGGGTCTGGTTCTCCAGGACTTCCCCTCCTTCCTCATTTACATTGAGTCACTTTACTGCTCGTAACTGTAAGTGCAGATATACCCAATTCTGATCACTAGATTCTACCTTATATGATTTTGACATTGTTGCCAGCTGTCAACATTTGCTAAGACAGACCAGGCAGCCTAAAGCAAACCACCTCTTACGTGCCTGTTGAACATTCAATAAAGATTTCAGGATGAAATTTATCCTTGGGGAAGTGGACAACAGAACCAGTTTAGTGGAAGAATTTCCTGCCAGAATCACAGAATCACTAACATTGGACAGACTGCCAAGATCACCTAGTGCAAGCGCCAGCCCATCCCTGCTATGCCCACGGACCGCATCTATCAATGCCACAACCTGAGCCCGTTCCCCCTCGTCCTATTGCTGTTACTTGGGAGCAGAGGCCGACCCCCACCTCACCACACCTCCTTTCAGGCAGCTGTAAAGAGCGATCAGGTCTCCCCTGAACCTCCTCCAGACTGAACAATCCCAGCTCCCTCAGCTGCTCCCCATAAGACTTGTGCTCCAGATTCCTCACAGCCTTGTTGCCCATCTCTGGACACACTCCAGGGCCTTGATGTCCTTCTTGCAGTGAGGGACCCAAAACTGAACACAGCATTCGAGGTGCAGCCTCACCAGTGCCAAGGACTGAGTTTAGATCACCTCCCTGCTCCTGCTGGCTGCTCTATTCCTGACACAGGCATCAAGCTGCTCTGTTTTCGCTAATGCTACTCTCTGACACAGTGCAGAGGGAGGTTTGTAAGGAAAAGTGATACTTTGTTTAACAAAGGGATAGAGTTAGAAAGAATTTAACATGCATACAACTCCAGGGGCTCTGAATGCCTTCAAACCATGAGAGCTTTTTATGAGCCGGTGTAAAATGACACATTTTTGACAACACTAGTTGAAGAATTTCAAGAGTACAGTGATTTTCTTTTTATAATTCTGAATACTCCAACCTGTGCTTAATGACTTCTATTAATGACAACGCCTACAGTTCCTCTTCAGTTTACCTGGATTGTCAGGCTTTCTTTTGGACATATATGCATGTATGTGAGAAAATCCTACAGTCCTTAAACACAAATACTTTATTTCAAGCCTCTGAATTTGTTGTATTTCTTTTGTGAGAAACAGCTGCTGGCCCAGGCTGTCAGCCCATGTTTTTGTTAAGAACATCTGCCAATAAAGTTGTAACAGCCAGCCCTTCTAATGTGTGTGTGTATTTACTAGTGTTATTAATGATTTATGCTGGTATGTTTGATAAGCAATAGAGCCTATAAAAGTAAAAGCACTTTGCTTGCCAGTATAACTGTATTCTGACTGACTTTTACCAAAGCAATAAAGCTGCCCCAAATCCACACTAACAGCAGGAATGTCTGATGTGGAGAGAGGCTCCAGCCTCTCTTTAGATTGGGTACAGTGTTTTTTGCCAGTGCTAAAACAGCCTGGTAGTTACAGAGCATTTTGCACTGACACAGAGAGGCACCACTGTGAATTTACTGCTCCCTGCTATACTTTTGCTTTGACAGTCCTGTCAGAGCTCATTCAGCCTGAAGTATGGCAGCACCGGTACCCAGCTTTGCATCTCTTCTCCATCATGACATCAGGAGGACAGTCATGTAGTTTACTTCATCCCTCATGCTGTCAATGTACTGCAGGATACTTACAGCATCCCGAGGGATATGTACAGCAATTGTTTGTCACATCTGTGGCTTATGTTTCCAAAATGAAAATGTTTATCCCCTTTCTTGTCTAGTTTCCCCCTTTCCCTCCCCTCCCCCCCTCCCCCGTTTGTTGTTTTGTTTTTCCATCCCTCCAGTATGGATTCTTTAAAAAAAGGAACTTGTCATGAATAATTTTTTTTCCTCCTTCTTATTACTAATCAAATCTTATGAAGAGACCTGCCCTTTGTGCAGTCCAAGCATACGGTCATGCGATCAAAAATGTTGTTGATATTTTTTCTTGAAAAATTAATTTAGCAATAACATCAGTACCTTCCTCCAAGGATGAGGGAGAGAAGATCTTGAATACACAGATGTACAGTTTGCATTGTTCTGCCTGAGGATCTCGGCAAGTGAGCAGACAGTAGAACATGCATCTGGTTCCAGCGAGGCAGGTACGCCACCTGCTGAAGAAGATACAGAATAAAATCAAATGTCCTTTGAGAGAATAAAAAGTGTGTTTATATATATATATATATATATATATGATAAATATATCATATACTATATATAAGTTATATATATATGATATATATCATATATATATATTAACACATATAATATGTAATAATATATATATATAATCATATGTATAATATATATATACAATATACATATTGTATAAAATATAATATATAATACACATATATATTTAAAACTCCCATTTTGGAGTTTTCATTTTTCAGGAAAGAAATAATCACAGTTCATTCAAGGCTTTCTTTAAGTCCTTGCATACTCAAAACCAGTAAGACTGCAATCCTGTCCCCAGCCTTGCAGCAGCAGATAACATCCCTGCTGATCACATACAAGCAAAACCTGGCTCACAGGGGAGAAAATCAGGATCTACAACATCTTCCATCACTGCCGGGCTTCAAAGAAAGGTAAGAGTAGAGCCAGCTCCAAAGGGAACTGTAAAAACTACAGTTCTTTGGCCATATACAACAGTATAGAAATCTTGGCAGCATTTTATTTGTCTTGCTAAGTTCCAAATTACAGGTGATTAGGTTAACACCTATCCTGCTACTAATAGGACTTCGTATCCCTTGCCTCTCTGAACCTTAGAAGCGTCCAACCCCTAGGTGGCACTATGCAATAAAACAAGGCATGTTCCAGGACTGCATTTCCCCCTGCAGATGGAGTTCTTATTTAAAATGTGAAGTGTGTAAATGTAAGTACATTGAATGCAGTTATTAGTCTCACTTTGGTAATCCTCTTTTTCCGAATCTGTCCATCAAAGCCAATAAAATATATCTTGTTTCAATACAGTATTTGCACCTTCAGAGTACTATGGAATATATTTTCCTGGAAAATGATGGTGTATTGCAGACTTGCCATTTTAATTCTGTCTGCAGGCAGGTAACAAACCAGGATGGGCTGTGTCTACTTTAGCAACTCACTTGGAGCAATAGGTGCAGTCTTGATGGCTGTAAGAAGCTGTGCTGAGGTCCTTCACACCCCTGGCATACTCACATATGTTGGTTTAGGCCAGGTGGGAACTGGCCCAATACCATTACACATTTTGGAACTTCGTGGGGCAAAGTCCTCACACCAGACATCCCCAGCTGTGGGACTGCTGGGAAGCAGCACGTTCTGCTCGGATCTGCCTCATGCAGGTCTGTTCCACACCAGGCTCCAATGTTCTCGCAGGTAGAAGCCAGCTAACTTTTTTCACTCCTGCTATCTGTGACAGACACCAGGGTATTATTTCTGTTTCTGATCCTTGCTGACACTGGAACTTGCAATGGTGGTGCTGTGAGGGAGGAATGGTGGATTCAGCCTGCAACCACAGCAGCAGTGCAAGACAAACACCTCGAGCAAGGCCTTCCGACACCTTCTTCAACAGACACAAGGAGAGGCAGGACATCTTCCCAGCAACATTTACCATGTGGATGAAGGGCCTGGGAGATGAGCCGAGGCAGATGGGGCTTCACCATTGCTGAGGGTGTGATGGAGCAGGAGGTACAGAGCTCCTGGGAGCCAGGATACCACGGGGAAACAGATCAATGGAGTTGGAGGCAGTTAGAGAGCTGGTGCCACCACAGCTTCAATACACTTCTGTGATTCCCCTTTTGAAAAGATGTTCTCATTTTTTTTCCTTCAAAGCATACAGCACCTGGTAATTAATTCCCCTGTGGCATCACCTAACTCCTCTACTTCATATATATCTGCTCTGATTCTGCTTGCTTATGGTACTGTTACATGTTTTCTCTCCACCTGTCTTTCATGATAGCTTCACAGTCTTTTTCTATTAATGGATTTAAACCTTGGGACCAGCTGAACTGTGTTACGTTCTCTGACTTTTCTATGATAAAGAACACCTATTTTTATAGAATTCCACAACTTTTCCCCCTTCTGGTGTCATCCAGAAGAGATCTGTGCATCCAGTTAGAATTCTCTAAAAATCAATGTGGTCAAGGAAGGGAAACTGTGAAGACATCACCCTGCATTCTGGGTTCTTCACTTTCCTGTAGAGAAGGCTAGCCTAGAGCTGGTGAAAGTTTGATGTCCACTTCAAGCCTCAAATTGACAGAAGAGAGTTTATTTCAACAGAAGGATTCTGAACCAAACTGATTTATTCACCACAGTAAGATGTCTGCTTGATGTATGTGTTTAGGTCCAACACATCAAGCACTGCTCTATGCCCTTCCACATCACAGAGCACTTTGACCTCAAGATGTAGAAAGAAAATATGCTCTGTGTTGACTCTGAGGCTTGGAGCAAACATTGGCTCTTCAGTCCAGCCTTAAGCACTCATCCTATGCCAGCATAAGCTAACATACGGACTGCAGGAAGCCCAACACTCAATGCCCTTGGTATTGCAAACGTTAGGAAGCTGGTGTTTGGTGAGAAATTGTTATGTGTCCAAGCAGAAAAAAATCTATACATCAGGAAAGATATGTAAATTCTTACTAATTGCATGTTTTTCATAGTTATTATTCTCAGCATTACTCCAGATAGCAGGAAGTGATGGTTTCTTTCCTGAGACATTCCAGGCAGTTCTTTTTCTCTTTAAAGATACAAATGAAGCATTTTGCTGATTAACACTATGATTTGTTGAAAAAGCCAAAGAATGGGTTCAATACAGTTTTTGTACATTGACATAGTGCAGTAATTATTTGTGTATGTTCTCATTGTGCTTCCTTTTATTTTGAAGTTTTCCGGGATTTAAGTTAATTTCAAGTATTTTTATCTTCCAAAGCTTTTATAAACTGAAGAATGTAAGGCTGAGTATACTTCATATTCACATAGTTTTCCTAAGGATCTTGGACTGCTTCGGTGGATTTATCTTTTGAAGAGACAATACAAGGTTTGTTTATCCATTCTTTGCCTAAAATAGCAGGTCTCTGTGCAACTCACATCTCGGTGCTTTCCTACTGCACATCTGCACATCACATGAATGAAGATACCCATTTTTTTGTCGTGAAAACCAACAGGAAACACACTGTTGGCAGCTCCCCTGGTCCTCTGATTAAACTCTCTGTAAGACAGTAAGGCTCAGGCTGCTTCCAGTTCAAAATGAAACTTTGGGATTTGATGATATGCTATTAAATACAAAGGCTTTATATTTTTCAGACTAGATTTTAACTTGCTGAGTAAATTAATTAACAATGAATAATCAAAAATGGATTAAATTTGGCTTTCAAGTAAAATATTGTATAGGACCCTGAATAAATTCAGGGCTAAAGTCTCAGTCCATATAATTATTTATTTACTTATTAAGATTAATGCAGGTTTTATTTTATTTCAACAGTTCACATCAGTCTTTTGGGTTCCAGATATATTTGTCTATAGTAGAAATCTCTGAAAACTGTTTTACCTTCTTCCACTCAGTCCTTTCTGCCAAATCCAAGTCACTTACAAATGAATGTGGCGTTAAAGGAAGGAAGAAAGAACATAATGAGAATGGAAAAATGGTCCAAAATGTTAAAAGGATGGAAAGCTATTTAAAGAACAAAACAGTTTCAGGAGCTGGAGAATCTCTGTGGACTGACATATGGAAGTCGTATGTCAGTATATGCCTGCATTGCACATACAGTCTGTATCCTTTTGCTAAATTTTGTGTCCAAAGTTGTAGCAAGATCAGGTTTCAATGCAGTTAGGAAAATGTCAAAGCATGACAAAATGTTTGATTTTTAATTATCTGTAGAAGCCATTTTGAGCATGATTTTTTTTCCTTGCTCTTTTTTGAGACCTCTGAGACCATCCTGACCACTAAAACAAATGTACCCATTTCACCCCACGTTAAATTCTCTGTGTCAGGGAAGATGGGACCAACAGCACAATTAGCCAGGAATTAGGAATCAGGCACTACAGTGCTGCAGAATATGGGAGGTGTTGACTCTTTTTGGCCTCTGTGTGGGAATAAAACTCAGAGGAAAACATTCAAAAGATGCAGTGCATACAAAACATGTACCCTATGGGCAACAAACATGGAATTAGGACACACGGAAAACAATTTCAGCTTCCTATTCCAAATCTAATAATATAATAACCTAATCACTGCATTGCTGTATTGTTTCTTATTTCCAGACCAGAAATCCCATTTCAAGTCTGAAAAATCTCCCTTTGGAAAAAAAAAAAAAAAAAAATTGCTGAAATGAATGTAATTTAAATTTCAATCAAATAGAAATATAAGAAAAATGCTGGGAAATTTCCAATGCAACTCAGCTGCAGAGTGGCTGCAAGATGTGAGCTAATCCTGGTTAGCACACTGCTTCCAAAAGAAAGATCCCTTCTGACATCCCAAAGTTGAAGTAGCTCTGTGTGACAGTTTTAGGGCCCGTATTGTTGCTGATGAACCATATGTTTGACTATTCTGGCAACTGCAAAACTAGGTTATGATGAGCTGCAAATATCAACAGTCAACAGTAATAATGGTGAATGTTGCATTATACTTGATGGGTCTTTATTATTTGTTACATTACTCAATTGTATATGGGAAGAGAGCATTTTAGTTGAGCATGCTACGTGACTATGAATTAGGTTTGAGTGAGAAAGCTGCAGAACTTCCAAGTGTAATACTGCATTAACTGATTTACATAAAGGAATTAAATGCTCTATGTAGTTTATTTCTATGCAGAAACAATGAAGGAAGTCAGGGAATGGATTCTTGTCTCAGATAAAATCCAAAGGAATCTGGCCAGCATCAAAGGAGTATCACCAGACTGACACTGCTACAGTCAAGATGAAAAATTCACTGATGTTTTTAAATCTCAGCCAGGAATGACTACTGCGGATCAGTGGCTCAGTTTCACTACATGTGACAAAATTACAACCACTAGAATAAGGAAAGCTGCATTTAGCATGCATAGACTCTGGGATTAGACAATTGCCAGAATTTCACCAGAATTTCTGCCTGAAGACTGCTGCACCAAAACAAGGGTACTGCCAGACATGTGGTGGCAGC